CCTCCGGGTGTTTATGCTACTACGGCGCCTACAGAGACCTTTACACGAGCCCAAGGAGATGCTGCAGCACGCGCGACGGGTTTACCCTCAGGTATGAATCAAGGAGATGCTGCAGCACGTGCAGCGGGATTACCAACGGGTACAAATCAATTTGGTGACGCAGCATCGGTTTCGCAGCACCGGGAGCATCGAGCCAGTCACAAACGCAGCCAAGCCAAGTCGAGCTGATCAAAGGCAATGGTGAATGCCTTATCTGGCGAAAAGAGGAGCTTGCCTGCATGGGGTGGAAATCCTTCGTCATTGAGGACATGGTTGAAACTCCTGAGTCATTGGGAGCTGGAGACGACGCTTCCGAGGGCGCGATGGGGTTAAAGTTGTATCAGAGCTTTACAGACAAGACCCCTCCTAGGCGCCTGGCGGACTCCATCGCCGTGGAAAAGATGCTGGCCGAAGAGGGCTATGGGTTGATCTTGTGAATTATTCCCGGCCGTATTTGGATATCCAAGGACGACCGTCAGAAGGGAGAGAGTTTTACAACCTTTGTGGCGAACCAGGAGCTGGCATTACAGGAACTGGAAATGCAGCTTGGCGATGTGGTAAACACAAAGATCACCGGACGTGTGTTACTGCGACAGGCACACCTGACCGTCTTTCATCTCTTTGAAGGATCAATAGCAGTTCCTGACCTTTCAGCAATTTGCGGATCTTTTGAGGCCCTTGGATAGGCCAGAGATGATCGCTAAGGCAGCTGGTCAGGACATTGGACAAGTCGGTGGAGGTGCCGGGAAGTTGGCTTTCGCCACGCAGTTTTTGGCTGACCAAGATGTTTGGGACTACGAGGCAATGAAGAGTCTGAAGAACTCATGCCTGACAAAGAGCTTGAAGATGATATGATGCTCTTCGAGGACAAGGAGTACGACGAGGTGGAGGCAACGTGGATTCAGGCTTACCACACTGCCTACAAGGATGTGCGTCGAGATCTCCAAGCCCGACGGAAGGAACGTGGTTTCGTCAAGCGTCGCAATGGCTATGGCAAATCCAAGCACGACAAGGGCTCCCGCGGCAGGCGCGGCAAGCAGGGCAAGTACGGGAAGTACGGCAAGTCCAACAAAGGCAAGAAGAACGTGGTGAAGGGTACAGATCAGGATCTGCAAT